ACCCTTCAAACCATCCAACCATCCAATCATCTCACCATCCAACTGTCCATCCAAACAGCCAACTGTACAAGCGTCCAAACTTCTCTCCATCCATAAAACCACACATGCAGCTTTCCAACCATCCAACCAACCATCCAATGATCCATCCAGGCATTCAACCATCTCACCATCCATCCAACCCTCCAGCATCAATCCACCTGTCCACCCAACCTTCAGTCCATCCATCCCTCCATCCTTCCCTTCATCCATCCACCCATCCACCCACACACCCAGCCAACCCTCCAACCCTGCACGCACCCGTCCCAGCACCCACACCCCTGTTAGCACTTGAGGGACGTTCCCAGTTCGCACAAGACCCAAGGAACAAGGACAGGCCATGCACAAGCTCCTGCTGCCACCCCAAAACCAGCACCCAAACGGGACACACAAATGGTCCCCAGATGTCCTCACCTGTGACGGCGTCGGTGGAAACGGGGCCCAGACGTTTCCGACCCCACACCCCGTACAGGTTGAACTTGTAGCGGCGGGACGGTGACAGCCCCGGCACGGTCACCGTGCGCGAACCCCCGTCCACGGGCAGCACCTGGGGCTGGCCTTGGGCATCCCGGTACTGCACCGTGAAGGAGTCAAAGGTGCCCTCGGGGACGCTCCACTCCAGCTGCACCGAGTCGGGGGTGACATGGGGAGCCGTGAGCTCGCCCAGGTGGGGCTGAGATGGGGGTTCCTCCTTTTGGGGAGCTGGGGCTGCAATGGAGAGGACACGATTCAGGGCATAAACATCAACCCATTCACCCATCCCTCCGTTCAACAAGCAAGGAAACATTCCTCCAACCATCCGTCCATCCATCCATCCATCCATCCATCCATCCATCCATCCATCATCCATCCATCCAACGGTCCATCCATCATCCATCCATACATACATACATACATACATACATCCAACCGTCCATCCATCCATCCATCCATCCATCCATCCATCATCCATCCATTCATCCATCCTCCATACGCATTTATCTCTCCATGAAATCATCCCTCCATACAACCTTCCCTCACACAAACATTCCTCCATCAACCTGTCGCTCATCCCTCCGACCTTCCCTGCTCCCACCCCTTCATCCCTCCTCCACTCAGCATCCAAGAGATCTTCATATTTCCCATCATCAGGCCCAAGGGATCATGACGGGCCCCGTCCCAGCTCCTGGACTCTCCAAACCCAGCACCCAAAAGGGACATGGACAGACCCGGCACATGCCCTCACCTGTGATGGTGTCAAGAGAGACGGGGCCCAGACGTTTCTGTCCCAACACCCCGTACAGGTAGAAGTTGTAGCGGTGGGACGGTGACAGCCCGGCCACAGTCACTGTGCGGGAACTGCCATCGACAAGCAGTGACTCGGGCTGGCCTTGGACATCCCGGTACTGCACTGTGAAGGAATCGAAGGTGCCCTCGGGGACGCTCCACTCCAGCTGGACAGAGTTGGGGGTGATGAGGGAGGCCGTGAGCTCGCCCAGGTGGGGCTGGGACAGCGGCTTCTCTTCTTCTGGAGATGGGGCTGGAATGCAGAGAGCAGAAAACAGGATGTAAATGGGGAAAGACCCACCCAGCCAGCAAGAAAATGAAGAGTCACCAATTCAAAGCTCCCTCCATCTTTCATGTACTCAGATATTCAGAAATCCATTCCTCCCTCCCTCAATCCATTCATATATCCATCCATCATCCATCCATCCATCCATCCATCCATCCATCCATCCATCCATCATCCATCCATCCATCCATCCATCCCTATGTCCATCCCACCAAACCAGTCAGCACCTAAGAGATGTTCCCATTTCCTAAGACATCAAACATGCAGAACAAAACATGTCCCAGCTCCTGCCCTGATCCACGACCAGAAGCCCAAGGGGACACAGCTGGGGCCCAGAGCCCCCCTCACCTGTGACGGCGTCGGTGGAGACGGGGCCCAGATGTTTGCGACCCCACACCCCGTACAGGTTGAACTTGTAGCGGCGGGACGGTGACAGCCCCGGCACGGTCACCGTGCGCGAACCCCCGTCCACGGGCAGCACCTGGGGCTGGCCTTGGGCATCCCGGTACTGCACCGTGAAGGAGTCAAAGGTGCCCTCGGGGACGCTCCACTCCAGCTGCACCGAGTCGGGGCTCACGTGGGAGGCCGTGAGCTCGCCCAGGATTGGCTGCGATGGGGGTTCCTCCTCTGGCTCGGCTGCAGCTGACACAGAGAGGGGACAGTGGAGGCTGTGAACATCTGCACATCC